TATTCAAATAACACAGTACGTAATAACTCTATATAGTAGGTATATTGGTAGGTTAATGAGATAGATTGACATTAGTTATGTAGATTTAAAATTCAATCTACTCAATAAAAATTTCACATGGAAATAATGCCTGTAAGTGAGCACAATTTTCATCAGCACTTTAAGTGATGGGGTCATTTTGGAGTCAGCCTTTTCTTTTTCATCAGTGTACTATCAAACATGTTTTTTGTTTGAACTTATCCCACTTAATTTAAGAATGTTATCAAAATGTTAGACTGACAGTATTAGGCATGTTCCTAAGTCATTAGTATTGTGACACATTTCCCTAATATGTTTGATTAGGTCAACAATATGTTGTTCATCGTCGGAAATGTAAATACCTAACCAAAGGCGGCATACACACTAATTACCGTAGATGAATAAACAAATACTAACCTCCAACCTGAATATACGTATACGTGCCGAAACCGCCCTTTTGTGACAAAAGATTGAAAGGCGCAATAAATAGAAGCTTCCCGGCAGTAAAACTCATAACAGTATACAGCACCACTCCTTCTTTAATCCACTCAAAACTGGATAAATACCCTGCTGATGTCACCTCCAACTGCGTTAATGAATTCACGTGCACTTGCGGGAGCAAGTACATCGGAAGGACAGAAAGAAGGGCTTCTATCCGGTTTTCTGAACATATCCCAAAAAACCTATGCCTGAAAGGAAGCAGATATTCCCAGAGTGCAATTACCAGAAAAACTGTTGATACCGGACATCTCGTAGAGATTTCTAAGTCCTTGAAAATGTTAAATAGACAAAGGACAGCAAATTTACTACGATTTGCCAAAGCAATCGCAATCAAACGACTTAAACCAGACTTATGCATACAGAAAGAGAGTGTGATTAACCTCTCACTCCCTTGGTAACAGAATTTTGATTTTGATTAGTCATCTAATTCAATGATCTCAACTCACTGAACAAATCTTAATCTCATAAACTGTAACCGCTTTTGTTTCTTGGGTTGCTATGTGAACAAGCTACAAGCTGACACTGTTCTGTTAATCAATTTTTTCTGTTTTCCGTCTTACCCCTCCCCCTTCTCTCTTTTCAACTTTGAAAGCGTATAAATTGATGATGAAAACTTAAACTAAAAACATTGTAATGCTTTCATTTAGATGCGTCAATTTTATAGTATCTCTTCTCTACCACCACTCAAACATTAAAGTATGTTATTATCATCTATATAACCATTGTAATTTCAGGTAGTCTGCAGATGATGAGAACCTGTGAAATAGAATGGTATCATTTTATACTGCAAATTTCGTCTTACTTTCTTTATCGATATTTGAAATACTTAAATACACATGCAGAAAATTCATTGTAATCATGTTTCACATTAATTTGAGTCTCGAAATTAGTAACACATAGCTGAGGAATAGAATAAGTTTTAAAATCTGAGTGAAGTGTTTTGACCTGAAACGAAAGTTTCGAGGAATTTTAAACTGTATATTTGTTATGATTATTCTGCTCATTGGTTTTTCTGTCTAAAAGGTGTAGTTTCGTTTTAATAAAATTAAGTTCTTACATTTACATTTCACACACTGAGTTTGAACCTGTAAATAAACTTATCTCCATGCTCTGAGTTTTATTTTGTTTATATGAATCACTTCAATGCAAATGGTTATAATTAAAATGCGCTGCCTGTGCGAAACTAGAACAGGATTCCAAACCACAAAGTAGTGCTAGATATCACGTCAGTTCTATAATTTTAAGAATTTTCAAATGTACAACAAAGTATATTATTCAGTTGGCCTTTTGCACAGCTCACTGATATAAACTATGAATAATACTTCATTTTATAGGGTTTTTAAATATCACAATATTGCCTCCTAAGTAGTTTGAAATATCTTCAAATATTCTAGCTTTGGGAAACAGTTACTGTCACAGCAGTAAGAATGTTAATTTGGAATTAACTGGATGACCTGGTTACCTGATATAATGTCCTGAGGTCTCTTTCACCTGCAGCCTTCCTGTTCTGCTTCAGTTGCCAGCCAGTGTACCATAGAATTGTCTTCTGTCGTTCCTGGCACTCTTCTTCGTCGTTTTTATTCAGTGCAGTGTACATTGAACTCAGTTTCTTCTTCTGTTGTTTATCTTTTCATTGAGCCATCTTCTCTTTCACCATCTCCCTCTCCTCTCTTCTATTAGTAGCTTCCAGGTATCCGCTGAGAGCCATTCCTTGTCTTATCTCTTCTTTCTTCCTAGAACAGTTGTACGCATTCCCTTAAACATCACCTTCAGAGACCTAGTTCCAACGTTCCTCCACACAGGTTTCTTCGGTGGTAACACGTAATACCTCCGACTTTGCTCTAACCTGATCTGTAGTGAAGGCATTCATTCCTTGTAGTTTTTTCCTTCAGTTTCTGCATGTTGAGCTTGAATTACGGTGGTATATCTCCATTTGGTCTGAAGGATTTCCGCTTCACCAATGAAGGTCCCTTGGACTAGATGATGGTCTGAGTGAGCTCACATCTGCTCCCCTTCTCAACTTTGTTTCCAGTAGGCAGCGTCTCCACTTCCTCGAGCAGCATCGTGATGAAGTCTAGCTGGTTGGTGGTGTATCCGTCAGGCGAAATCTATGTTCCTTTTTGTATATCCTCGTGTTTGTACCTGCTCCCTCCAATCACCAAATCACTGAAACCCAGAAGTCTGCGAACAAATCTCCATTCTCAAGTATATATATATATATTTCTAGTCGTAGTTTAAGCTACTTGCAAAATATAAGTAGCATAAAGGAAATGAAAACAATGTTTTGCCAATTTGGCACTTTGTCCCGTTCATTCTCGGTCAAGTTCTCATTTTACTTATTTTACGATGGAATACAACCCAAACGGAAGGACCATTGAAAACTGAAAATTACTGAACAATTATTTCTTAGTCACTTAGGGATCCTCGTCTGATGTGTTTCCGGAGTCTGGAATCTAACATCATTAGATTGCCAGGGGAAAATATCACTGTAGAGAAGCTGAGTTGGAGTTCAGTCTCTGGCTTGCAACCAATTCACACTAGGAGTTGCAAATCATGAGTCACTAGGTTATAATCCGACAACTGGAAAGTTATGTTAGTGTCCCGTGACTTGACAGTCCTGTTCTGCATCTGTCAAGTTTTAATACGTAAGCAGATCTGAAAAGTCTCAAGCAAGAGATGTCCAGTGATCCATTGTTATTAAAATATCTTATGATTGAAGTTGGTTTGTGACGAGACCGAATTTGAATTCTATGTTTACCACATTCAGTTCTCCTGACTACACGGGTCTGTACATAAATGAGATCCAGAAAACATTAACTTCAGTTACCAATAAAGGGATCACCGACAACAATTTATTAAACAGAGTAGCTGACCAACAGAGTGCTTACTCATTCAGTTTGGCTTACAATACGTATCAAGAAATGCGTGATAAAAGACATTGGTTGGTGACTTTCTTATAGAGAATAGCCGGTAAGGGACGCAGGTGACTTGGTTAGCTTATGTTATTTTCACCCTGATAAGGAAGATATTAGAACATAAGGATGTTAGTGAGGAAAATTATCTTTGCTACAGATTCTTTTTTTCGAAACTCTTTCGGAAGACTTGGAAATATATCTTATAAAAGCCACGCCTTTGCGTACAGACATAATTAGTACTTTTGACGTGGGTTACCTATCCAAATGACACCAGTTAGACAACAGTTTGAATCCAAGGGACAATAAATAACCATTTCTTCTTGTTTTGCGACCCCAAAACTGCATGCCATTGACATCATTAGGGACTGAACCAAAGACCTTCGGGTTACGAGATGAATCTGTCTACGATTCAACGACTTGGTTGGATCCGATGGTTCTCTAAATGATCTCATTTCATGACCAGGTCTACAGTGGAATTAATCAAAATCCATTCAGACAAAAAATATGATTTACAATCTATACTTTCCCTGTCGTTCATTTGACACTAATTTTACCATAGTAAGCACGTGACTTAAAAACTTTACAACTCCTTGATTCCATGTTGTTTAATTTAATATTATTCTATCATTTTACTTCATTTTTATTTCTAATGAAAACAGTTTAGTAGACCTGGTGAATTAAAAGGAAACGTAGAAGATTCAAAGATATAACCTTCTTTCTTTCTCTCATGTCAGTTCGGTAACTTTAGAACAAGTAGAAAGAATGACTGTGCATAGAAAAATTCGAGTTATCAGAAGAGAAATAGTTTGCTCATTTGACACATCGGCAAACGTTTCAATGATAGGTAAAGAAGAGTGTAAGAACATAAAGGCGCGTGCGTTGGCAGTTCACGGTTCTCGGCTTTCAAACAGCCTTGTAGATATCACAGAATGCAAAATAAGATTTGCTGCGAGTGGATTTCCTAAGGGAAGTGAGAGAAGTAACTGATATGGAAAAAAGATAAGTGAACGTGAAATATGAACAGTTTTGATTGAAGGAAACAACGGGGTAGCCCAAGTAGAAGTAGCAGCCAACGTTAAAAAGGAATTATCAAATATTAGTAAATGTATGGCGAAATAAATTAGCTTATCAACAGCAGACAGAGAACCCGACTGTAATTGTGATCAGTTAGAACATAAAATTCCGCTGAAGAGTCAGAGGGAAGTCATGATAAGTGCCACTGTATTTAGAAAAAGAAGCAAAAAGACAAGTTCATGAACCAGAATTTGGACGCGTTTATTCTACTGTATGCGAATAACCTAGCAACGTGTCCTAGGTTGGCAGCCATATCTTACGTATATGTCTACTTTTATGTTTGAAACGCATATTTAAAAGGTAGTGGTTTGTATTTCCTTTTTAAAATTTTTGTCTCAGCCTTCTGATTGGTGAGTTTTCAAGGTCAGTAGGGAGAGAGTTGTAAAATAGTCAATAAGTAACCAAATAAAAATTGTAGGTAGATTTTTGTATCGACAGCAGATACAGGCTGTTATTTCGTTCCATAATATGTCTAAAATAGCCACGTTTTCCATGATATTGCTCAGTTTTAATTTTAATTTTGGACCATCATATTTTAACATACCATGTACTACAGATGCGAAGTACGTTTATAGAGAATGTCGAGCCAAGTGGTCAGAGTGGATCGTCAATAAAACTTATCTTATTCATAATATTCCCAATATACCTGCAAGTGTAACGCAACGTAATTGTACTTGGTTTACTGCACCCTGTATTCGTAACCGACAGTGTCCTTGTGAAATGTACTACCCACTGGAGTTGTCAGACGTTCAGTTACCTCGGAAAAGAAACCATATATGCGTTCAGAAGAAAACATGTGATGTCTTAATCTGTTCATCAGTTGTCCTCAAAGGCAGTACTATTTCCTCATCAAAGTTAGTTTTGAAATCATACGATTTTGAAGGGAAACAAAATGAACGCAAATCTTTAGTCGGAATAATTTATGTGCCACTTGATTACAATACTCGAAAAACTTATGAAAAGAATAAAGTACAATCAGAGGAATCAGGTTTAATAGAGAGTGAGGAATACATGGTCATAGACGTTTCTAATAATTCTGTACACCCAGTGCATGCCAAAAGCAGTTATCCGTCAGCAAATGGTCACAATATCGGCAACAACACTAACAGAACTCAAAATGCTTTAACTCTCACTGGGATTGTGCTACTTCCACTTTTATTTTTAATGCTGGTTGTATTTTCTTTGTTTAAAATTTTACCAAAAACTCGATGTTTCGCCAGAATTTACTTAAAAAATAATCATCTACCAAAGGAATATGATCTGAGATGTCAAAGTTAACAGGACAAGGTATGACTTTTCTTTATTTGTTTTCATTTGACTGTATTATTTTTTATTCTTGAGGCCCTAAATATTTTTGGCACTTTGTATACTGACAAACAATTTTCTGACAAAGTCTTCTGTTGTGTTCATTGGGTGAGGGACGGACTCCTGTTCTGTGTAATACCAATATGGAGCGTAATTCTCACGAATCGGTGCTCTACTGAGGACGAAAGGTTGGCAGCGTTGTATCGGTTGAAATGAATTTCGTTTAATGCATTTGTGCGAGTCATCCACTCGTTTAGGTTGGTTTACGAGTAGACTTATTCATTTAAATTGATTGTCACATATATGTGTGTGTGTCAATTTAATTCTCAAAGACAGTCATAGAAATAAGTTTTTTTTGTGTGTACATGTGGTTTGTCTAGTTTAGATAGTTAATTAGGTAATACAAGAATAATCTATTATAGAAACAAGGTTATTTAGACAGCAACTAAAGTAAGATTGAGTAAGTTAGATGACGCAATATAAGTGATTGAAATGTTTCAACTTAGTTCAGGATAGCAACAGAGTTAACTACAGATAGAGACTAATTAGAGGTGGGCTAGGGAATAATGCCATTTAAATTGGGAATAAATTGAGCAAATAAATTGGATGACGTAACATAAATGACTAGAAATTGAGCGTTGTTCAAGACGGTGACAGTGGTAATGAGGTGTAGAAATTAAATCGGGTGCGAGTAGAGAACAGGAAAGTTGAAAATGTAAAATATTACAGTTGAGAAGACAAAATAATACTAATGAAGTATTAGACAAAAATAGAATTTACCTGTTGGTTGTTAAGATAGATTACGTCCATTGCAAGTGTGGTGGTGGAATGAACTTCTTCTGTATGCAGAGTTCAGGGCTTAGCAACTGAACTGCCATTGTGTCTGTAGTTTGAAGAGATTTGACTCGTACACATTTAGGAAGACTGATTCGTATTCTGCAGACGACTTGGAAGTCTGTTTGGGATGTAGCCTGGTGTCCGGAATCTATCAGATGTTCTAAGATAGAGATGCGGGGGTATCGATTTTCTCCTTTGTAAAACCATGCTGGTAAGTGTTCGGTGATACGTTTGGGAAGCGAACGCTGGGTACAGCCGACATAACTGGCTCCACATGAGCAGGTAAATTGGTAGTTACACACTGATGAGGCCAGCAGTGGTGGCTTATCCTTCACTTTCATACGAATGATAGGTTTTGTGGAGAAGGTTAATCGTAGTTCAGAGGCGAAGAAGGTTTTCTTGAATGAACGGTACAGTCGATTTTTTTTCAGGGTTTCAGCAGATGAATCTCCATTGAATCGAAGGTTCACGTATATGAGCGTTTTTGGGACGCTAAGCCTGGGTGGCTTTTGCAGTCTACCATTCATGGGTTTTGCAATAAATGGTTATGGATAACAATTCTCGCCGAGGATTCTCTTGAGATTTTCCAGTTCGTCTTCTATGGTATCCGGGTTGCAGATTCTGCAAACTCTGTAGCCGAGTGTGAACGGATCAGCTTTCGTTTGGTGTATAGAGGCACCCAACTGTGGAAGTTAGTAAGCTGTCCGTTCCACGTCGACTTTCTGTAGGTGGATCTTTTCAGTGTTCCGTCTTGTTATCGTCCTGTTAGTTGAACGTCAAGAATGGATATTTTTCAGTTAGAATCTTTCTCTAATGTGAAATGAATCGCGGGATGGCAGTTGTTAAAGGAGTTTAAGATTTCGTCTAGATTTTCTTCATTAATGGCGATAATCAAAGTGTCATCGACGTATCCCTTGTAGAGTTCGAAGGAATCAATCATTTTCTTTAGGTATGCGTTTTCGAGTTTTGCCATGAAGAAATCTGCAAGCAATGGGCCTAGTGGTAAGCCCATAGCTATACCATCCTTTTGGCGATATACTTCGTTGTCAAAAGAGAATTGAATATTCAAGGTACATCACAGTAGGGTTTCTTTAAGACGCTCGGTGGGTATACCCATGTTTATTCCCTTTGAGTGAATAGGTTCGCATGTATAGCATATTGTTTCAATAAGTGAGATGTTTGTGAATAATGATGTGACATCTAATGAAATCATGGTCTTGTCGGATACGTTGATGTTTTCGATTGAGTCGATAAACTCAAACGCATCTCCAAATATGTGGTAAGACACTTGTCTTCTGTTTGGTTCTAGTAGGTCTGTTAACCATTGGGCTGTAAAATGATAAGGCGAATTGATCATGTTGAGGTAGGGTGAAGAGGGGTACCCTTCTTGTGTACTTTCAGGAGTCCGTAAAGTCGTGGTATATTTGAGCCAGATGGTCTTAGGGATTCGAACGTCTCGTTGCTGATGAAAGATTCGGTCTTTATTTAACCGAGGTTGTCCGTTAGCTTTTGTTCGGTCTGTTCAGTTATATTTTTCTCGCTGACCGGTTTTGTGAATTTGCATTCGTCGGATAGTATAGTCAGTATTTTACTGATATAGTCCGCGCAATTCATGATTACGATTCCTCCGCCTTTATCAGGATGTAATACCATAATCTCTTCGTTTTTCATAAGTCATTTCAGCTCCTTATAATGCCTCTTAGTTAAAATGGACCTTCTGTTGGGTTTGGTATCTATAAACTTGTGACAACAGTTGAAGCTTGATGCTTTGGATTGTTGTAGGTTTTCATCTGATGCAGGCGTGAGATCGTAAGTTTGGTTGGTCAGATTTTTGAACTGGACCTGGCATTGAAGCTTGTCAATACTTGGTGGTTTTACGCGGAATTTTGGACCTGGAGATAGTGCCTCTAGTTGAATAGTTGTAGACAGTGTGATGTTTGAGAGATTGAATACACACTTTTCTGGATTGCTTAGAAAAGGAGATTCGGTACTAACTGTAGGCTTTAGATTTTTGAGCAGATCTGCTTTAGTCTTGCTACATTCTTTCTGAATGACTTTTTGTACAAAATCTTCGAATGTCTTAGTTCTTGATCTTAGTCTTTGACTGCATGAGCTCTTGAGTAAACATTTCGTTCTACCTTGAGAAAGTGCGACTGAATGGAATCGACGTCGTTTCGTGTGTGTCGTCTGAGTGTTCTGGCATTCGGTTGGATTTGATTGCGTCTGAGTGACTTCCAATACATCTTTGGATACTCATGTCAATCTGTACAATCTTTTCAGAAATGAAAATTTGCCTTCGCCACTGCAAGCTTGACGGAGTTACGCATGAAAACATCCAGCTCCTTCACCGTCAGCGGTTCATTGCAACGTATAATTACCTTGAAAATCCCCGTTTAATCATATGAGAAGCAATCCAGAAAAGTGCGTATTCAATCTCTCAAACATCACACTGTCTACAACTATTCAACTAGAGGCACTATCTCCAGGTCCAAAATTCCGCGTAAAACCACCAAGTATTGACAAGCTTCAATGCCAGGTCCAGTTCAAAAATCTGACCAACCAAACTTACGATCTCACGCCTGCATCAGATGAAAACCTACAACAATCCAAAGCATCAAGCTTCAACTGTTGTCACAAGTTTATAGATACCAAACCCAACAGAAGGTCCATTTTAACTAAGAGGCATTATAAGGAGCTGAAATGACTTATGAAAAACGAAGAGATTATGGTATTACATCCTGATAAAGGCGGAGGAATCGTAATCATGAATTGCGCGGACTATATCAGTAAAATACTGACTATACTATCCGACGAATGCAAATTCACAAAACCGGTCAGCGAGAAAAATATAACTGAACAGACCGAACAAAAGCTAACGGACAACCTCGGTTAAATAAAGACGGAATCTTTCATCAGTAACGAGACGTTCGAATCCCTAAGACCATCTGGCTCAAATATACCACGACTTTACGGACTCCTGAAAGTACACAAGAAGGGTACCCCTCTTCACCCTACCTCGACGTGACCAATTCTGAGCAACTTTAGTAGGAATTATTGTGCTTGCAACGACTTTGTGAGTTTGATATTTTATTTTGGAAACGGGTTCTTGGGTAACGGCATGAAAACCTTGCTTTTCATCAACACTGAATTTGAAAATTTAGAAACTCTTTATTATACCAAGAAATGAATGTGTATTGTCCTAATTCTCATCAGTAAAATAGAGGGCGAAGTGGAATATTTTATCAGGGCACAGATATTTAATCACAATATGCAAAATATCTGAAAGTCATTGATGAGTTATAAAACGAAACTTATTAAAATGTACATCTTGTTTTTACTGTCTTCAACAACAACTATAAGCATTCGCGTACAAATTAAACTGTGGCTATATTTTCTGGCCTACTGACAAATAGCCTATAGAAGCAGTATATCGAAGAGCTTCTGTCCGAAAAGAATGAATGGACTGAATAGGTCAGTGTCTGGGTAAGCGGTAGCAACACCTGACACCAAACAAATGCTTTACAAGGATTCAGAATAATAAACAAACGAAGAAACTTTGGTTTCCTTTGGTTTGCTAAGGCTATGGCAGTCAAATGTTTGAAGCATAATCAATGTTATTAAAAGAAGTCAGAAATCACCATTCAGTTAGTTTGTAACTTGAATTCTGATTATCAATAAGTCATACACTTATCTATACTTTTGTTTCACACTTTATCCATATCTCTATCCTTAAGAAATTCTTTGTTATAAGACGTCGTGTTTTCTTACCGGTGGCGTACAGCGTGCTAAACATCTTATCATAATGTAAACATAAATCTGATTTATTGTACTCAGTGGCAGACAGTAGTCGAAATTAAAATGGATCGATGTTATTCCACTCCAATATTTTCCCTATTTGTGTTTTCATAGAAAATAACATGTGTTTATAAGCCTTCTCACTATTAGAACGTAATTACTCTCAAGTAGGCGCCTACATAAACCTCATTTACTATGTATTTGCATCCATTAGGCTGAAATACAGTTGGATATTACTTTGCGAAAATATTTCTTTATGGAATTGTCTTTTATTACCCCTAGAGTGACATGTATCTGGATGAGTATCAGAACAGCCATTTATCAACAGTAGCTTTTGATATGTTTTACAGGTTATATATAGATATAAATCTTAAAACGACTATTAGGGAAATATTCTCCCATTAATTTTTATATTATTCATTGAAATAGAGATGTCCATATTTTCTATACAGTGTTCCATCTCCTTATGTTTGAATGTGGCCTGAATGAAGAGATTTCATTCCTGTATTACTTGTGATCATATAACTAATCTAAATGTGGATATTTCCACAGTAGTGTTTGATTTGCGCCTGACTCGTGCTTTTATGTCTGTTTTTGCAGACATTCACCTCCTCCTATACATACTCAAACGAAGATTTATAAAGCCTACTTGTACAACTACCGATTGATACAACACAAACAAAAGAGATCCTAGGATGAAGACGCTATCAGCAAAAAAATAAGATACTTCTTTGATAAGAATTTCTATCCATGTACCACCTTCTCCTGCACCTGATTAAACAGTCTTCATCGACGTTTTATATTAAAGAGGAATTTTTAAAATTATGCTGAATAAGCCTCAATGAACAGGGAATAATAAATATATTGATCAAGAAGATTGTCTCTTTTTCAGTATACCCATTCATTGTTCACATTATAGTGAAATGACATTTTTTGTGGCAGGCTTGGATTATACTTGGTTGGTCCTGGGTTATGTAAAGCGTCAATTCCACCAGCACAAGTTTGTGATGAACCACTCACAACCATATCCCCAATACCCAAAGCAACTGGAACATTTGGCATTATCCAGCGTGGTACATTGGATAAGAAGACTGAACTGGACATAAAATGTTTTGATATTATATCTGATGATACATTGTATGCTCCCGGTCCAGGAAAGTTATCTTTATTTTTAGGCGCAACTTTTGAATTGGCTGTTGAAGAGGCCAATCTGTTTGTAAAAACAAAGTTTCAAGAATAAAAATAAGGATAATATACTGCTTAGAATAATTCTAGTTGACCAATTCAGGAATAAAGTCAAAAAAGCTAAGATGTGGTCAGTATTTTGGTTGTCATTATTAATAGTGGTACACAAAAATTATTTTCGATAATTTAATTATTTTTATTTTATCATTAAGAACACATTATTCGTAGAAAAGATTCTTTACAACGAATTTAGTATCAAGCAATATAATATAGGGCTTCAAGCTAGTGGCTTGAAGTTTCTGTAGCAGTGTTTATTTTACAGGATGGAGTTGCTAGCCTCATGCCCAACCTTTCCTCTTTACCAGCATTATTTCTGGCTCAGCGAGGTAAAGGAGTGCGTCGGCGGGGGATCGAAACTTGGACCATATGCATCGTCGGCGAGCGTCCTAACCGCTGTGCCACCGACTATATATACATACATATATATACTCCACTGTCTTTAGAAGTTTATAACGAGGCAAAAGCGGCAAATTAGCACGGATTCGATAGATGATCTTAATGTCATGGTCAGGGTCGGTCGATCAAGTGTTCTAGGATGGAGCTTCGCTCACCCTTCCTTTCTCCTTAGTAAAACTATGCTGCTGGTATATGTTCTTGTATCCGTGTGGAAAGTGTCCTGTGGCTACGATTAATGTACCTGGCTCTACGAATCATTCAGATTCTGGTTAGTTATTTGAACTGGAATGTAAATGACCAGTTGAAAACAACTGCCTACTAAGAACACATTTCGACGGGAAATCTGATAACAGTTTATTTCAGAAAATGAAAATAATCAGATTACAGCATATGACATATTAGCTTGATTGTGTACTTTGCAAGCAGACATGAGTGGTACATTCACTTATTTTAGTACTTCCATGTGATGTTTTCAGTTAAGACTTTTTTCTGTCCAGTTATGTAAATCTCTAACCCCACGACTTTTATGTTTGTTTTGATTGTGGACCTTGAATAAAGGACGAACAGTCTATTGGTATTGCGTTGTAGCTTTAGTCTATAATTTACTTTGTATGATATGAACTTCGCTCTAACTAATTACCACAACTTTTGTTGTTTCAGTGTCTGGAGTTGTGTGTTTATCTACCTCACAAATGATAATTTACAAATCAGTTTTGTGTGCACAAGTTTTTTAGACTTTTTCAAACGCCATATTCTGCAGTATAATTTTATAAGATAATTAGGTAGATTAAATTCATGTGATTTACTTTCATTTGACACTTTTTCTACAGACATTTGTTTTCAATTTACTTTCGAGATGTATTGTATAATTCACTATGAATACAGCTTAACTGCCTTTAAGTAATTTGTGTAATTAGTCAGAAAGCATAGAAAACTTCGAAACAATTACCTGAAACATCTGAATTATCATTTCCGTTAGTTTTTAATAGGAAAAATGAAGAACGTATGTATGCTTAGTGGTATACTTCAGTCACTATAGTGTCTCATAAAGTGAGAAAATATCATGATGTTACCATCCATAAGACATATTCAGTAATTTTTTTATCAGAACTTGAAGAGTTAACTAAACGAAACTTTCTAATTTTATTGCTCAAGCATAGTTTTCTTCACAAATTCCAAGAAATTAAATTCTTATGTGATGCATACGATAACTGCTTTCGTTTTCAAAGAAGTAGAACTTAAAATTAACTTTCCATTAGAATAAACTTTCTCGGAATAACATTTTCTTAGTTTCATAAAATGAAACACATTCACAATGAGGAAATATTTGTATAAAATGGTGAGTGTGTGAATTTTGGAACGCAAATTCTCAAACGATTATCACGTGAAGGATTAAAACCAACAGGGTTATAATGAAGCTTTACACAGGATGTTTTGGAAGACTTTTAGATGTAGGGTTTGATTATCTCTCTAGGAAATTTTGCGTAAAGTATATCAGTAGCTAACTTTTAAATGTCGTTACATTAATCATGAATTGATCCCCTTTGTGTTTTCTGTGTTTAGGGCTCTTGATAATATGCATAGTTGCTTTGTCATTGGAAGTTATTCACATAATTGTACCCTAAATGGCTTTCAATACAGTTTTTCAGAGTAATCAAAACATACGAGGAGGTTATCATCCAGCCAGGAAGAAGACTGAGTCCACTATATTCAACAATACAGGCCAAAAAATTGCAGTCCTATGATGCTCCAATGGCTTTCACTCCATTCAATTATAACCTTAGTTATCAAGACCGACTGACCGCGAATTAACTTATAACTCTGAGTAGTGTTCACTTTTTGGAATTCACCATTATCACGATCAGGATACAGTATTCGTCAACATTCACAAACAAACGCAATTAAATAAAGCATAATTATATTTCAATAATTTACACACAATGATAAGTTTTGTTATTGGTAATTTTGCTCGAAATATTACCAATAACAAAACTTATCATTGTGTGTAAACTATTGAAATATAACTATACTTTATTTGATCTAATCCACAATGCTCAAACTTTTACTGATAAACGCAATTAAGTTCAAAGACAATGTATTTTCTAGCTGAATAAAAATCCTGATAATATTCAAATCCTTCTAAACTGAAACTGAAAGAAGAAAATGTTCAGCATGCCACTCAAAGACTTATAGCCACTTAAAGGACAGACGATATAATCGAATATGTGCTGAAAATTCCACACTGTACCACAAGTACTATTTCTGGAATAAAGCGAAATTGTTATGTTATGTCATGTAATGCTATGTTATAAAACAACTAGTAATTATCAGCTGATGCGTAATCTGAATTCCCAAGATCTTCATCAATTAAAACACATGTATGCGCTAACATCAATCCAGCTTATCACTGACACCAAAACAAAGTGGAACAATTACTTCATAAAAAAGCTGACCATTCATGTTTCATATACGAATTGGAGAGAAGCCTATTGGTTCGACTAATCAGACAGATAGAAAACGTTCATATTACCGATGATCAAAATGCTATTTCAAGGTTTACCTCGAAGTACTTCGTTTGAAAAATCACTTTTTTCAGGACCTATGAATTACAAGCTACTAGTATTACGCTAAGTAATCTACTATTTTTAGATGGGCTGAACCCTAAATAAGTTAATTTTTACGTCGTTTTTGCAAACAACACGGGCAAGATAGTTTTAATGACTACTAAATAGATGACACTGAAATCGGTCAGCTTTGCAGCGACTGACTGGGAATGACGTAGTTTGTCTTTAAACGAAGCTGTTGTTGTCTAATCTTGATTCGCTTGAACAGTGCAAATGCTCATTACAACAGATTTTCATCAGAGATTTATAAAATAAGACTAAAACTTCATAATCAATTTCATATTACTTGTTCGTTTGTAAAAACTTGTTGACTCATAAATGACACTACAAAATGACTTTTCTTAGAGAAGTGAAATAAGAACTACCCATAACTACTTTCAAATAGGTGTTTACTGTGTAATGACTTCTGTTTAGTGAATATCAAAGCTGTATCAAAATGAATGTCTACAGTCGGTGAGAAGTCATATGATTTACCGGGAAGTTTAATCGTTTATGCTAGCAACAATACACAAGAATTTATACAGCCGGTTTTCTTTATTAGTTTGAATAAAGAAAGAAAGAACCTATTTGCAGGATAATATGAGCTCGTTTTATATTGTGGACTCACTGCAACTGCGTACACCTTAAATTATTCAATTATATGTGACGAAATTTCTGAACATACTTTTCTCTACATTGATTTCAAGTTATAGATAGAAAGTATAAGCTACATAATTTCAAAGATGATGTAAGCAGACAATTATTTAGTGTTAAAAGAGTAACTATTTATACAGTAATTAGACAGGTGTTCCTTCTAATTCTCACAATAATTAGATCGACTGAATATTTCAGACAAACTTCTCGTATCAGACGATGTTTGTAAGCTGGTTACTAGAATACCCATTGAAGAGACAGTGAGAATTATATGTCAGTAATCTGAACTACTTCCTCTTCTTGAAAAGGAGCTACGAAAATTACTACTCCTTTCAAAGAACATCCAGTTTCGATTCAACAATCAAATGTACCGGCAAACTGACAAGGTGGTTATCGGTTCACTCTTGGGTCCTGTTCTTGAGAACATATTCATGGCTCATCTTGAACAGGCACGAATGAAGCCGGAAATAGAGGGGACCACCAATTACTTCAGATATGTTGACGATACATCTGTGGTTTGCAAAAATGTAGAACACGCATCCATTTTTTAATTGTCCCTTCATTACTTCTTTTTATATTGAGATCCAGGAAGCGGAATTGATTGTCATGTTCAGGATCCATTGTAAATGCTATGTGAGGGTGAGCCTCAATGAGGTTTTTAGGCATCATGGATGCGTGTTCTCTTCAATGGGTATTCTAGTAACCAGCTTACAAACATCGTCTGATACGAGAAGTTTGTCTGAAATATTCAGTCGATCTAATTATTGTGAGAATTAGAAGGAACACCTGTCTAATTACTGTATAAATAGTTACTCTTTTAACACTAAATAAATGTCTGCTTACATCATCTTTGAAATTATGTAGCTTATACTTTCTATCTATAACTTGAAATCAATGTAGAGAAAAGTATGTTCAGAAATTTCGTCACATATAATTGAATAATTTAAGGTGTACGCAGTTGCAGTGAGTCCACAATATAAAACGAGCTCATATTATCCTGCAAATATGTTTGTTCTTGCTTTATTTAAAGAGAAGAACTTATGCTTCCTGAAAGCACACCATCATTCAGGGGCCTACTGTTTTCTGTACACGTATGTAAGAGATAAATACCCATTTATACAAGCCTATAAATGATATATAAATATAAAGGTATAATTTAGCTTACTTTATGGGTAGGGGTTTGATCACCTTCGGTGTTGAATAATTATCTTTATTACTATTGTTCAAGTTATATGAACCTGGTCCGGGATACTATGGGAAGAAGAAATAATGATGAATGAGCAGTCAACAGTCTTACGTCGGATTTTGTTATCATTGTGGAACGTTCACTTTTTGATGCAAAAGCTGAATGAGGTATTTTAGATTCATTGCGCTTCGCACTGATTTCATAATAACCTAAATAGATGGTAAAAGTTTTATAGTGCTCTAAGGAGTACACTAGTAGATTTCATATACAGAAACATAAGAATATTTTTTTAAATATTGTAGATAGTTTATGCGAAACTAAGTCAACTAATTATTTTGATTACCACACTTGTTAGCAAGATGTTGTTAATTTTTTTTTGCAAGAAAATTTCTACTTTCTCTGAAATAAAAAAAAAGTCAGACAGTAGTTTGGTTATTTTAACATTCAAATCGACATAAGTACACTTTTTCTCTTTATGGTGTCACAACTAAAAAGCAGTACTAAAAAGGGCCAAGTTCAACAATAGCATCCCAAGGGATGCGAACGCATGGGTGACCTTCAGCCAACCAATCATAAAAATGAGGAATTTTTGCACAAAAAATGACTTATACTTACAAGAAAATGCATGAAAACACATTGAACAGGGTATCTTCCTCTGACGGGCGGGAGCGAATCGCATGCCAAACATTCGTAGATTGCAGCTCAGTGTGTTTAGAAGACTCTGCATTTCGTCAGCGTCCTCGCCTAGAAGGAATATATCGTCTGCATATTCTAAGTCAACGAGATTATTCCCTGGTAGCAAGTCAATCCCTGATTCTCTGAAGTGAGTTAGGGTTAAATCAATTACTACGGTATCTATGATGAAATTGAATAGAAATAGGGATAATGTGCATCCCTGACGGACACCACTAGTCGTCACCAGTTCAGATGACAACTCACCGTAAGCCCTCACCTGGCTGCATGAGTACGAGTAGAGTGCCTTAATCAGTGCAATGTATTTTCTCCGGATTCCCTTAATAGTCAAGCATCGCTAGAGAACCTCTCGGTCGACAGAATCGAATGACGGCCGCCTTCAGGTCAAGAAATATAATGATCGTTGGACGCCCGTAGGAATTCCTATGTTCTAGAATCTGTCGGAGAGTGAAGATATGATCAATACACCCTCTTCCTGGTCTAAAGCCTGTCTGGATAGTTCTCTCGTGTTTGTTCCTCCCGAGCACACTTAGTCTACGCATGATTATTGAGCCTAGGACTTTAGATACTATATTAGTCAAGCTAATCCCTCTGTGATTATCACAGGAAGACTTGTCTCCCTTCTTGTATATGGGGATAATCAGTGACTTACACCAACCCGATGGGACTTCCTCTGATTCCCAGACGCTGCCCAGAACCTTAATCAATGCAGACAGTAAACCTGTGTCTATATCCCATTCAGGGAGGTGTTGGATGTACGTCAGGTTGAGTGTGGCTGTGGGCCAATTAAAATGCTCCTCATAGTGCTCTTTGCAGCGTTCCAGTCGTCTATCCTGGGAGCTAATTATGGTGCCATTTTTCTCCGAGATTGTTTCACTTATGATTTGCCTTCTCCCACCCGTTTCCTTGATGAGTCGAAAGAGTTGCCTGGTGTTGCCTATCCCCGAAGCTTTTTCCATCTCTTTCGCTTTTGTCACCACCACTGTTCACGGTCCTTGCGGAGACTTTTCGTAAGTTTCCTTTTGTGCAGCTTTCGCTCCTCATTGAATTCGGAGCTCGCCGGAATAAGTCTTCTAGCATCTATCAGTTCGGATGAGGCGGTGGAGATCCAGTGGTTTTTACTCACCTTTGGGTTTACCTTATTCACAGCTTTTACAGCTGTATCTATGGCTGCCTGGATATTTTCCAAGCTTCTTCAGGGTGAGCACAGCTGTCGAACACAGATATGTGTTTAGCTAGTTCTTCCTGAAATACGGATTTAGTTTCCTGATCGAGCTGGGGACGTGATGGTTTTACCGCCAGCTGTTTCCTACGTCCGTTCAGTCGTAAGCACACCCGAGCGCGGACCAGTGCGTGGTCGGTATCTACACACGTGTTCCAGAAGGAGCGACAATCTCCTACCGACCCACGCCAACGATAGCTTATTGCTATGTGGTCTATTTGTGTCCAGCGTTGGTTTGATGAAGGGGGTCTCCAAGTCAAACAGTGTCTCTCCTTGTGTTTGAAGTTAGTGCTTACAAGAAACAAATGATTATCAGAACAGAACTGTAGGAGACGGTCACCGTTGTCGGTTCGCTGGCACGGAACTCCATAGGTGCCACCGACATCCTTCTCAGATTGACACAATTTCCCTACTTGAGCGTTAAAGTCACCAGCTAGAACGACTATGTCTGAGCGTTTAGCCTTTCACACACACTAGACAGCTTTTGGTAGAACTCATCCTTCGTTTCATCTGAACTGCAGTCAGTGGGGGCGTAGGCGGAGATTACGAAAAGGCATCGGCGAGTAGTGCAGTCCTTCTCCTTTTTACTGATCCGTTCAGACGGACAGCACACATTCGGCTATCTACCGGGATCCAGTCAAGCAATGTCTTTTCTGCCCTAGTACTCAAAGCTATCCCTACGCCAGCTAATCCTCGTGAACTAGCTGTGGCATCTCCTGACACCCTCAAGGTGAATTTTGCAGATTCAACCTGTTGGCCAGGTGGGGTTAGGTGAATAACCACACTTGGGTCTTGTATGCGTGTTTCTGAAACACAGCATACATCAATGGCTCGTGATGCCAGGGTCTTGGCTAGTGATGCTTGTTGTCCTATTTGGCAAAGTGTCCTAACATTAAAGCTCCTATATGAAATTGGTGGCGCGGCTTTAAGAGGCTGTCGGTGGTGGTTTTTTGGCTTCCATCGTTTTTAGTGGACGCAGAGTGGAGAGGAAGTGGAGAGCTATCAAGTCGAGGAGTTGCATCAGTGGAAGGAAGGCAAGATGATAGAGATGAAGATGAAGACAAAGATGAGTGAGTATTAGAGAGGTTTCGTGTGCATTTCGGATTGTGAGGGCGATTGTTACTTCCCGGCTGCCCACACCGTGGAAGTTGGTTGCGTGACCGCAGAGCCCAGGGGACAACTGCTTGAGGCCGGTCACACGCGGCCTGTTTTTGTTTGTTCTTTTTGTTTGGTGTGTCTCAGTAGCATATTTATCACTCCTGCCCTGTGACACGGCAGCAGGAAGCGCGGTCGTTGTTAATCCGGGCCACGGCCGATCCGGCATGAAATTTTGTGTGTTTTTATGTATCATGGTGTTGGATTGGGTAGCTGCTTTTTGTTTAACCGCTATCCAAACAACCTGCCTGGAACGGTAGGACCTCAAGAGACATAAGTCTTAGCCAGTATAGCTTGATTAGGTAATTACGGTGTTCAAGCTGGACCACCATGTCAAGGTAGTAACTTTCCGTCGGGGATAATAGAATATATTAAAATAAATGACATCAACTCTAAATCTATCCCTCTTCGTAACCTTAACCTTAATCCTGACCCTGACCCTAAACTTAACACTAGCCCTAACATTAATCCTAAACTAATTACAACCCTTATCCCAGCTGTAAAACTAACACTAATCTTAAACCTAAGGAGATATTAACACACTGACCAAACAGTACTTAAAAAAGTGATCTGGGTGAAATTTGCTACTTAGTTAGTGAATAACGTTGATGTTTCAGCTATGATAATGACAGGTGCTGTTAGCCAACGATTAGCATGCGTTCAAGGTCACTGGGGCGTTTGCACTCCTGGGATGCTATTGTTGAATTTAGCCCTGAAAATATAAAAATTTTAAACACACACTCATATGAATACATCTTATTTTATAGAAGGAAAGACGATACTACTGGACTTAAGGTCATTAATGTGTGTTATTCTTATCCCTTCATTAGTTTTCAGTTGAGCTTAACAGTTCCTATTAACATTTTGCATGTTTTAATCTATTTAGAAAATTACAACCTGATTTGTATAGTTAAGTAAAATACGTATCACTGTTGTTTAGCATTTTGAGTGACAAGTGTTGAATATATGTTCAATTATAGCATTCCTTGTTGGTCGAGTACTGTCGTAGACTTTTTCAGCTTTCACAATATCCCAGTGAGCTGAATTTCTGTTTTTATTCTTTTGCCTTTCTCATTGTAAGGTGAAGCTAACTTGTTGAAAGAATTGCTAACATTTTATCAATATAGTCTTTTCTATCCATCAGGATTATGCCAGTACCTTTATCAGGGGATATGATCAGCGATTCCTTGTTACATCTCATTTGGCTGCGCTTTTCTCTGTGTCTTTCAGTCAATATATGATTGCACTTAGATGTTGCATTGAGGTACTGATGACATGAGTCTACAATTGCTGATTTAAAATGGTTGAACTTCTCTTCAGAGACTGGGAAAAGATCACTAGTCTGATCGATCAAATTTTAACAGTCGACATATTTATAGAGCTTGCTAATGTTTTGGTTCATGCCACAGATATCTACTATTATTTCATGACTTTTAGGGTGCTTTATGGAGGGAATGAATGTTTTAAGATGTGCCTAGTTCAAGTCAGAATAAAACATAATATTGAGAACAGTTTCCAAGATTCCTTCGTTTGTAAAAGTCATGTATTTTCCACGGGATATTTGTGCCAACAGACTATGATTTAATCACCTAACTGATGAGGACTGTGAACTGCTGTTACTCAAGAGAATTTACTGACTCAGTGATTCACTGGTGGAATGCTCACTGGCAATGCAGGAGATCCAGGCTTGAATCCAAGCCGGCCTTACTAAACGGTATTGGGTGCAGAAAGGAGAGGAGGGAAGGTTTGGCATAAGACTGTTACCTCTTCCCCCCTCCCACCCCGCTAAAACAATATCCTTAATGAAGCATTAAAAGCTTGAAACCCTTTGCTTCACTTGGAACGCAAGGGATGGTAAAAAGACATTAAATTTTAGGCCTAGTTTATAAAATAGGTGTTCTGCAATTAAGTGATCCACTTATGCACAAGGTTATAACCCACGGATGACTGAGTAACAGTGTGAATATTTTTTCCATACAACCCCGATGGTAAGCGTTTACGATTCTGAAAAGTACTAGTTTAGAGTGTTTTGACAGTGTTATCGATATGTGTGCAACAGTTTTCTTTCTACATCATTTCCATTATCGATTCGAGCGTCATGTACAATTCTTTCTTCGCTAAGAAGAGATTATGTAAGCACATGAGTTTGACTACCTTAGTGGATGCTTAATTTCTGCAGATTCCTCTTCAAGAACTGTTATTGAAACCCTTAACCTTACTTTATAGAATAAAACCGGTAATACAAACTCCGTGAGATTACTTTAAATCCAGTGTTTTGTTTAACCTGTAAAGTTTATTACCCGTGAAACAAGTTTTCCTAAACATCATTGTTCTTACACCAAGTAAATATATTTTTTCTGTATTTTTTAGGGAAATTAGAAACAATTATTTCTCAGATTTATAAACATTTTAGTAAATTGTACACTTTTCTCTAATTCACTATTAATTTCATTTAGTTAAGTAACACTCTACGGACCATCATTGACCAAAGCTTGGAATGGCAGTCACCTCTCTATCACAACTTCATCGACTTTGAAAGGCCTTCGACAGCGTCGATCGAGAGGTGATTTGGCAACTACTTCGCTACTACGGGGTCCCATCGACAATTAAACATCTCATCCAGCAGTTATATGACAATGTTTCATGCCAAGTAATCCACAACGGGAAACTTACGGAATCCTTCGGAGTGAGGACGGGAGTGAGACAAGGCTGCCTACTATCACCAATGATTTTCCTGATTGCAGTAGATTGGATAATGCGACAGACAGCGGCAACCACCGAGGGAGCAGGCATAAAATGGACTCACACAAAAAACTTGGAGGATCTGGACTTCGCCCTTGATGATATATGTCTGATTTCCCACACACTGGAAGATATGCAAGTGAAAAGCAACAAGTTGGCACAAGAAGCATCAAAGATAGGACTTCAAGTGAACATGGATAAAACAGAGATTTCTGGCCAACACCAACAGCCACAGCAACAACAACAGACAACAATCAGCATAAATGGGAGGAATCTGAAAGAAACAACCTCCTTTACCTACCCACATAACTGGGAAGCATCCTTTCAACTACAGGCGAACGGAACTGACGAGGATATCAAAGCCAGAATCAGAAAAGCAAGACAAGCTTTCATCACTCTCAAATCTGTGTGGAGGTCAACAGCACTCAGCACTAAAAATAAGATCCGGATTTTTAACTCCAATGTGGAATCAGTCAGTGCTACTATACGGATCAGAGACTTGGCCAGCGCATCATAAAGAGCATCTCAAACAAACGTCAGACCTTCATCAACAGTTGTCTTCGTTCAATACTCAAGATCAGATGGCCGGCCAGAAAAGATCAGCAACAGGGATCGCTGGCAATGAGCGAACCAACCCAGCAGGAACCGATTGTGAAACAAATGGGCAGGAAGAAATGGAGATGGATTGGATTGTGGTCATACTCCGAGGAAACCATCAAGTGACATCACTAGACAAGCCCTCGAGTGGAACCCGAAGGGGAAGCGGCGAGTTGGTCGTCCAAGGGTGACTTGGAGGAGATGAAAGCATGTGGGCAGACTTGGAGCGAGGTAAAAAAGCTGGCAGAAAACAGAAGGCGATGGAGATGCGCAGCTGAAGCACTTTGTTCCTCCAGGAATTAAAGGATATAATAATAATAAATGATGCAAAACTCTGGCCTGGTTTTTAAAACCCATTGAAATTCCCGATTAGAAGAAAAAGAACAAATTCAAATAGCACTCGATATGACAACTGACCCGCGTAAAACCGACAACTAGAAAGAAACCGACTGAAGGGTATAATCACGGCTTCCTACTAGTGTGGATTGACGGATTTATTATTTATTATTTCTTTACGTTCCCAGTGGAACATAGGGCTTAGAAAACATTTTCTAAGCAAATAATTATTTGAAAGTTATCCTCGAGGCAGAATGTTTTCCCGTATAAGCCTTTAGCAATGGCCTGAATACAGCATATATTTTAGAAGTTTCATGAGCCTAAGCATTTTTTTAATTCTTTTATTTAAACAATATTGTTTGAAGCACTCTACAAACAAAAGGACTTAATGATACACGTTTTCTACTCTTTAACCAAGTCACTCAAAGGCTATTGGAAATGACTCAACCTATCCTAATACATTCTCTTTCAAATTTTTGAATCTTTCATGTCTGTTGTCAAAAGTAACTGCGTAATTGAAGTAATTTTGGTACAGAACTTAGTATTGTTTATTGGGAAATGGAGATCAGTAAAACATACCTCCAGGGTACTTTGTAATAGACAGGAATTAAAATTAGACATGAAAATTTCTCACTCTTTCAATCCAAAGGATTTTAAGCTTCTTATAAATAAAACATCGAGTATTTAGTCCAGGATGACGAAGTGCGTTTGTCAGAGAAAATGGACAACATGAAAAATTTTACAATTGAATTATCCAATAAATGGTTCAGAGAGGAGTCCCTCCTTGGGGAGTTCATTCACTTAGCTGTACAATCACAATTACATATAATTATATATATATATATATATATATATATATATATATATATATATATATATATGTACATTAGGTTTGTCAAAAAAGAATACAAATTAGTTTGAGTTATTGCTTATGTCAGCTAATGTTATGTACTCATCGCTAAATTATTGTTATGGTCTGGTCGAGAAACTAATAGTCCTGACGCGAGAAGGCGGAAATCAGAAGACCACTAGGTTTGCGATGATACTTCTATTGTCCAAACACAAGGAGACGAAAATAAATGGTCTCACACCAAAGTGGTAAGTAAGTAAAGTAGTTCACACAGAATGTGTGAACGAAATATATATATAAGAAAATATATATAGCAGACATGTCAAACAACCATAGTCACTAAGCTACGGACTGTCAACACTCATATTATATATAATATAAATGGAATATACATTGTTAAAGCAGACAGGTTCATACAAGTGAAATGGTCACAGACTAAGCGAGCAAACAGAAAGAGAGACCAACATACACACGCACACATAAATATATATGTGGATACACATCAGCTAAATATCTCAAAAATATAATGAACGATCAAGACTGTAACGGAGTGTGGGTGAAGATTAGTAAGTCTAGACTAGGGTTATGTATCATAAAAATGTTAATAGATGTTAATGTGAAAGAGCATGGAGAAAATTATCTCAATTAATTATGTAGTAGACAACATGGAGGTTAGGCGTAGAGTTCTAGGTAAACAGGGGAAATCAATCGACGAAGTCGTGAAGCTACATCGACTGAGATGGTTAGGACATGTGTTACGTATGCCAAGTCATCGCCTCCCTCGACGAGCTATGTTAGCGGATATAGGGTCAGGCTGGAAAAAAGCTAGCGGCGGTCAAACAAAAACTTGGCATCAGTCAATGAAATCCACAACAGTTGGTCTTAGCCACGTAGGAAGGTGTAGACTTCCAGGCTGGGGTCCTCGGGACGGTAAAAATCTATGGTTGGAAACAATTGGTGACATGGCTCAAAATCGTTCTCAGTGGCGCAGATGCATCCACTCCCTGTGACTTATGATCTTCAATGAAATTGTTTTGTATTTCTTTATTACTCCTTTGTCTCACACCTCTGCTCACTGTTTCTATTATGCTTTTCTTGTACTTTCTTCTCTTGCTTCGCGTGCTACACGGAATGTGGCGACTTGAACTTCCGCACATTTGTGCAAAGTTCTATGTCGAAAACAGACAGACAGACAGTAGACAAAAAGGGTAAGTAGAAGGCTAGTTAACAAAATGATGATACTAAATATCATACGAAATATGCACAAAGTAATATTAATAACAAAATAGTGGTGACAGTTGAACTTGGAATCATACACAAGGTCCAGTTTCCTTGAGTGTATATAAATTAGGGTTTTCCATCCGAATCGCTAGGACCACGAAAATGCAAGGTCTACGAAAGCTTACTGTTTTCGTGCATTATCCAGTACTATTTTGATACTTTCAACTTGTTCTTCCTGTCATAGGAAAGCAGGAGCCAAAAGATGCTGATAATCATTGCATGCCTAGTATTCTTAGCTTACGACTTTCCCAAAAATAGTAGTAATAATGGAGAAAATTTAAATCTCTCTTTGTCATACAGCCGTTTTCAGTCATACTTAACTAAAACATTCCATAAGATTCCCTATTAATTTTGAGCAAAGCTGAACAAAATGGCTTGAAGAAAGACACGGATCTGTGTCTATTATACAGTATGAATTAGTTTGCAAAATATCACTTAAAAATATAAACCCGTGTATACAGATGGAACGATAATTTGTAGTACTTAGAGTACTGTAAAACTAACGGAAATATATAGGAAAGACAAATAATTTTCTTAAATCTGAGCTCCTCTGCTTCCCACAATCATACTTAATTCAAGAATAAAAAGGGGAAAAACTATGATTTTAGATTCGGTTAAAGTCTGTTTAGTTGTGTGTGTATTGTCTGTACCCTGATCAACAGTGCATAAATTTGTCCAAAAGCACTAGACAAATGTTAGCTGTTACACACAGGAAATTTATGAGACTGGAACTTTAAGTATAAAAACTCCTAATTCCTAACTGTAACCACTTTTTCTAACACTTGCTTCGTACAGAGGTTCTAAATTCGTTTCAACTATCACAGGTGAAAACAGTCCCCCATATCTGCAGTCATCTGCTTCAAATAATTAAATAATTATCCCTCTTACGGTAAATTTTTAGTGTATCTACTCTAAACTGATATACCAAAAGGTGTGTATTTACCTGGTCCAGGAATATATGTTGCTGAGTGAGGTGAATCGAACAGCCTTCCAGAATTCGATTTGAACACTGCCATACCAACCTTGGCACTGGTACATTTCTCTATTTTCTGTAAAATGAAAATGATGATATTTTTTAAATAAAGGATTTGTGATATTCCCATCAAAATGGAAGATTAAATAAATGGAAAAAATACTGTTTCTAAACTGGCCTTAATCAATTAAGATTTTAAAATAAAAATGCAGGTTAGTAGGTGGGCCTGTTACTCATAAGATAGGGCGATTGAATTCCATTCAATGATCTACCAGCTGAGATCCCTTCATTGAATATTATTTTGAAACTGGTGTTGCGTCATTATTCCTAGCAAATAAAATTTAGATTAGAAATTAGCAGACTAACTAAAATAAGGTGGCAGAGGATCAGTCGTTATGTCCTAATATAAGTATTCATTAGAATAACCATATGACTGGATTAGTAATAATATCTATCTCAAACTAATTGTAGTTAATGATTCGCATGAATAGGTACGGAAGGTCTGAAGATGTAAATACAAAACAAATCGCAGCGGAGGGAAAGCCTGTTTTCATATAACTCGATTTCAAAGACAACGGCATAGCAGAAGTATTCAACAGAAGATTAAATTCTTCCTCAACCAGAGCCTATCCTGCATAAAAGTTGATCTTTGTTTACCGAACAACATGCTGTTTAGTTCAGTGAAAAATCAACAGGCAACCTTTTCATAACAACTAAAACTGCATATACAAATTTAAATGTATCTCCGGCAGCCGTCTTAATGTGAGCATGGTCTTTTAAGTTCTCTGGGGATGACGAAAAGTCGACGAATGAAAGTGATATTATCTAATTCCCTTCAAATGGTTGTTTTTGGTTTATTGAAACTGTGATGACACTTTGAAGCATCAATCTGTTCTACTGAAACATGTCTGTATTGATTTAGATAAACCATAAGCAATTCTACCGATGTGGTAATTTGTATGTGTTGAAAACCCGTTAAGGAGTTATTGATCTCAAATTGTTTGACTGCTGAGACTGATCATAACCATCATCTAAATGCCTCAACAACTTTATAACAAGCATAATGTTTTGTCTGCACAATGTCCACATCTTTTACGTTTATCATTTCCGTGAATCCCTGCAATCCATCTTATTGTTATTACCCACTGTTATCCTTGTTCCATTCATTTATATAAACGAGCTTTTGAGATTTAAACTGCCACAAAACAGCATTCTCATTTGTTTTCAGTATTTTGAATATATCTGTTGATGGATTCGTGCGACATAACATTTTACACATATTCAATGTATTTCGCTATTATCTTTAAATCATTAGTATCAAAAGTGATTATTCAAAAATAATAAGCTTTCGAACCGATAAGTTACTATATAACATTGCTTCAGTTTATAATGTGTATAGAGGAAAAAAAACCCAACAATTTACCTGATAGTCACATGGTGCAGGCAGATGTTTCTGTTGTTGATATTGATCACATTTAATAGCAACATCACGCTGGAAGGCTCGTGTGAAGGGTGCACGATTGAAATCCTGCCTACTTTTTATTCTCACGGAAGATAAGTCATACGCATTTGGAGCTGGTGATTTGAAGTTTAGATTTAATCTCCTCTATTAAAAAAAGTTGCAAATTAATAGATTTATTCAATTTTTGAAAAAAGCCAACCAGTAAAAGAATTACTAATATACCATTTCTATTCCTTCTTATTTTACGAACTAGAGCTTAGGAGAAAATAAGACGCAGTAAAATATGACATGGATAGGTTAACTATTTAGGAAACTGACAATAACCTATGAGTAAAAGCTACTAGTAATAGCTAACTATTTTGTAAATTGTAATACTGACACTTCTTACCAGTCAGCAGCTAATTATCTTAAAAGTTTACAGTGACAATTTAAAGAACAACACATTTAAGCGAACAATATTGTGCTTTCAATTAGATCTCATCAGGCTTAACTCTAATATGTATAAGTTTACAAATAAAAATTCAAATATAAACCACAATCATGGTGTTTTGTCTATAGGATAATACGATGGTGAATATAAATTGTGCAATTAAACATAATAGTGGTAATGATAATATTTAAAGAGCCTATGAGATTGATGACCACCACCAGTTCCTGACAAGGACATCCTGTGTTATTATCCTAATTCAGTTTAATCGTTGACGTACAGATGGAATGAGATCTGTTCCACTCCGACGTTTCTGGATCTGATTTATTATAAGAGAAAGCTTTGGTTGACTTAAAGTACGGACAGTATAGATCTCTTAGATGAAAACATTGACATAATATGGTGGTTCCTGAACAACCTGAAAATATGAACAACTTCAATACATATTTTTAATCCGTCATAAGTAGAATAATGCTGCACGATTAATTCCTACTAACACTTAGCTTAAAGATAGAAAGTAAGATGGTCGGATCTATTGAATATCTTATTTATTTGAGAAGTTCCAACAGCCTTAGTATACTGGTAGCCGAAGAAGCTTTCGAACCCATACAGAAAGCTCATCTGGTACTCTCAAAAGTACTAAATAAAGACGATGATTCAATCTATGGGATGCTGAACCTTAATCAACTGATATGGCTATAGAATAAAGTATACATCCCACATTACCATAACGAGTGTACTGGCTAAAGTAGAATTAGGTCAAGAAACCGTGTCGAAGTGATTGGCATCAATCCACCAAGTAATTAGCTGTTGAAATTAGTCAGAAGGCAAAGATGTAGGTTGAATGACTACTCTCAGCAAGATATTATGATTTAAGAACTGATGATCGGTTACAGTTGTACAGAGGTATTCTCACCTGATTGCCTTCGAAATTTTGAGAATCACTCTTAGTTTTCTCTTCTTTGTATTTATATCTGTTCGCTATAGTATTATTACTCTTCTACTCTTTCTCGTTTTGTGTTCATCTTATCGAAGTGTGCATTTCTGTGGATTCAGTAAATCACTCCATTCTCCAACCACTTATGTATAATAAACTAGGACCAGGTATGTGGTGATTATGGTTATGGTTTATTACTATTTATCACTATTTTCCCCTTAGGTTTCGAGTGAAACAAAGGGCTTCATCACCAAATCATGTGAATAATAACAATAGTAAACTTACGTAATAAAAGGAAGCGAAATTATAGTCAGAACGTTACTCTGGCCACCGTAGGTTGAGTGAATGTATGTGGCACTTTTGAATGCAGAGGTCCGGTTTGAGATCGCGAATACCCAGTGATTCAGCTATGTACAGATGACGTATTCGAAGTCCTTTCGTACGAAATCGAGAGACTGTGTTTAGCACTGCGAACCATTAATGAGGGGGTGCTTACTGTCTAGAATTGACAAGGTGTTCGAGGATGCAGCCACTACTATTCTTCTTTTCTCCTCTTGCTAGACAAGCTGGATAGTATTCCAGATTACGTTTCCGGACGTGAAATTGCGTACCGTCGATATAATTTGCTCCACACGAACAATTAAACTGATAAATACACAATGAAGTGACCAAAAGTGATCCCTAACGCTAGACTGGATAAATTGTCTGCTGGAGAACGTGATGCGTAAGGTGGCTGCTTGAAATGTCTTCTTCAGAAATTTAGAAAGGCGGTTTCTAAGAATTTCTGTTTTGACGTCACCTTTGAACTCCAGGTTCATAAAGATAGTTTTCTTAGGAACGGTTGTGATTTTTGGTTACGGAGGCTTCGGTTTTGTATGATATCACGCATAAATCATCCACGAAATCCAAATCTTTCAGGATCTTTTCTCAGTCACATGTATATCATTCTTCTTACTTCTCACAGTCTGTTACATGATCCAGTTCATCACAAACAAGAATATCACTGGTGACAGATGTCAGCCTTGTCTTACTCTTAACTGCACTTCAAAGGCATCACTAATTTCTCTTCTGTGAATCATGTGGCATGTGGGGTTGTCATTTGGCTGTTAAATGAAGTTGACTAATATCTCTGGGGCACAGAGTTCCATAGTATTGAGGCAGCTCCCAAATCACTTCACAGTCAATGCTGTCAAAGGCATTTTGAAAGCCGATGAAGCTGAAGTAGAGATTTAATTGATATTCTTTGCTCTGTTTGGTGATGATACATAGAGTTGTGATTCGATTAGTATATGCTTTGCTTCTCATGAATCCAGATTTTTCCGAACAGAGTTTTCCGTTCAGAGAATTTTTCAGCTTCCCCAGGATGACACTACCTAATATTTTGCCTGGTGTAGACAACAGTATGATTCCATGCTGGCTTTTGTAAACGATTAAGTTTCCTTTCTTTGAGAATTTGACAGGACAGTCCTACTTCTAATCAGCAGATACTCTTTCTTTCTTCCAAACCTTCTGTAATGATGACCTGAAGTTGCTTGCTGAGGCCTCTGAATCCATTTTCAATGCTTTTGGAGGAATTCGGTCTGGTACTGCTGCTTTCGGGGTTACTGCAAATTTATGACACTCAAAACTTCTGCTTTTGTCAGAGGATTGAAATTTAACTAACAGTTCTGTGGCCACCGGTGATATTTCTGGATGAGTCATAGGTGAAGGTCGACTCAAGAGTTCTTTGAAATAATCAGTTCATTGTTTCGAGTGTTTCTCCTGCCTGGTAATTAGGTCACCTTCACTATCTTCCACTGCTTTCATCTGTGTTGATCTTTTCCGTGATAGAGACCAGGTTATCTGGCATAGTGATCTGAAGTCCCTCTTAGCTGCGGTTTATTCTGTTTTAGTTACCAGTGTGTTGTAGAATTGTCTTTTGTCTTTCTCAGGACTCTTATTCACTTCTTTATGCAGTACATTTTAGACTGGACTGAGCCTCCCCTCTCGTTGTCCATATTCCGTTTCACCCCTGTTATCTTCGGTTTGCTTCAGAGTATCTGCAGACAGCCACCATTTGTGTTTAACACATGTTTCCTCATCGATGCTACATAATGTCTCCAACTTGGCTCTGATGCATGTGGTGAGTATGTACTTTGTATTTCCGTCCTTCAGTTTTTGGGTGTCCAACTTGAATTGAGGTCTATCTTCAGTTCCTTTGAAAGCTGTTCACACCACATAAGGGTCTGAGCCCACATCTGACCCCCCTTCTCTTCTTTGTTTCCAGTAGATTGTGTCTTCACTTTCTTCAAATTGAGTTAAAGTTTATCTGACTTTCCGAGTTTCCATACGGTGAAACCCATGTAACTGTGTATATATTCTTGTGCTTGTACACAATACCTTCAATCACCAAATCCTTGAAGGTGCAGAAGTCTGCAAAAAGTTCTCAGTCCTGATTCTTGTCGCCAACAGCTGCCTCAACCACGATGCGTTACCTTCCTGTGCTGTTTGCTTCCAGTTTGGAATTCATATCGTCTATTAAGATTTCGATGTCATCATGTGGGTTTCATTCATTTCTGTCTGCAAATGTTTATAGAATTCTTCCTTCTGCTCTTGATCTTCATTGGTGTTGGGAGTGATAGATTGGATAACTGCAACTTTTCTACCTTTTGAAATGAATCCAGCTGCGATTATCCTACAGGAGATTGGATCCCACTGCAAAAGAGGTTTCGATACTGTTGGTGATACTGATAGTCACTCTTTCAGTGTGTTTGTCATATTCTTCTGGATAACCGGAGTAAGTTACTGACTTTCCAACTAACAGTTTGAAGAGTACTCTTCCAGACCATCTACTCTCACAGATTACTGGCACTTCTATACCGTATCTTCCCATCTCTTTAACATTCCAAGCAGCCCTCCAAGTTTCGAACGTTGTGCGGACAATCCATGTCCCAATGATTGTTTTTGCTGCCATCAAAAGGAGACATATCTTCTGAGTGGATTCCCGAAAGCCTTCACCATCCCGCTTCATTCTGTCTCTCCGATTCCAGAGAAGAATAGGTTTATTTTACTTTGTCTTTTCTATACGTTAGAGTTTCTGATGCGAACCTTTCTCTCTTTTTCTGAGCTTAAAACCGCCTAGTATACTAATGAACTAGTAAATGCTTATAACTACTTTATACTGTACTATATTGATTCTTTGAATTTTGAATCAATTGAGGCTATGTTTCACCGTAGTGCACAGAGAAAAGATTTGAAAACGCAGTTCACCACCATGTAATCCTCAGAATTTCAGCTACTTTCTAAGAAGAGTGCTACACTGTTGCATTATATTTCGCAGTGTCCGAATCAGTCCTCTGTTTTTAGAGGTAAGTAAGTGTACTTGCATTTAAGCAAGCCAGTGTGTATTAATTTGGATGGTAGCTGTTTGTGCCATGAAGAAGTGACGGCATGATACGCTGTAGTCGAGATATGCAGAACATATTAGAGCTAAGACATGAGACTGTGCAGTTAGTATTACAATCTGATGTACATTTTTATAAGTGGATTCGAACCTCATGTTATTTGAATAATTCATTGGCGTCATCAAAGAAATTTTGTTGAAGGCATCAACAATTAAGTCAAATAAACAGAAATGAGGGAGTTTGGCAAAATAATCGGTATAAGATTTTAGACAGATAATGAGAACGGTACTAAAAGGTGTGAAGAATATTTGAGAAAATGGTGAAAAACGATGGTGAATGGGTGAATTTTAAAAACGTTGAAAAGGGGTTAAAATAGCTAATTATTCTAAATGTTTTA